AAAAACGATAAACAAGGAACGATAAGCACGGAAACGATAAGCACGGGAATGGTAATCACGAGAAAGTTAAGCAGGGTGTGGGTGTGAATGTCGGCGGATATGACTGTAAGTATTATATTTTGTTTGTACTTAACACCTACACTCACACAAACCTCACTCACACCCACACTCATGCCTATACCGACACCCACACCCAGTATGAATGTGAGAATTTGTCTTATTTTGACTTTCGATTAGTCATCTATCGATATACATCATCAATTCAAAGAACAAACTCTGATTCGCTTGTCCAAGAGAAAATGAAACAGATATCTTTACTCAGTTTTCTTTTATTATTTGAAACACCAAAGATTAAAGTTTAATCATCTTTTATCTTCAACTAATTCCAATGATAAATTGTTTTTTTGTTGATTGTATTTACAAAAAAACTGCAAAGATCTTCGATCGAATCATTCATTCGAATTTATGCCGGAAATGACTTACAAAGTAATTCAAAACTTTCATACAATTTATATATGATATGTGGGGACAAATACCACTATCAACCTCTCCCTTTCCCTCCCTTTTTTATGATCCAGACCGACTAATTAGCTGCTGGGGAGTTCATTAAAAGTATTCCTAAAAGTACCAGACCAATAGTTTACGAGATATATAAAGATTTAAACTTGAGTTTAACACTGCATAAAAGGTTTATTTTTTGAAATAAAATATAATGAAAGTAAAACAAGGATGTGGGTGTAAGTTAAGAGAAGAGAAGAGATACCCACACCCTCAAATGCAGAGAATTATTCGGTGAAATAAAATCGACATCGACGTGTTTCAAAAAGAATTTGATCGATATTGTATATAAATTCACAGCGCATTGTCCAAGATCTTAGACAATAAATAAGAAAATATACAGAATTTGTTTTTATGGAGGTGATGATCAAAAATAGTTTGAAAAAGAAATGAACCTACTCTGGCAGATCTGATTACGATCCAATGACGACATCTTGAAGTTTTCTCTGTACCACAAACAATTTTTGAATAGTACAACTAGCTACACTACAATAATCAATAGTCTTGAAAAGCAAGCGATGAACTAGACCGACGTGAATTGATTCCGTTTTATGATAGCTAAACATAAGCTATAAGCTTGACCGTTGAATTAGGACAAGTTCCTGATCAGAATGTCATCTTGAATGAAAATGAAATATTTCAAGAACAGTAGGATTATACAAATTTTATATGAGTTAATTTTTACAATTCTGCAAATGTTTCATTATTAAACTTATAAAAAATATAAAATGAGTTGTCAGATTTATTATATTAGAGATGTGCTTCAAGTAAAGATCATAGAATTGGAATTATAATGTAAGGCATCTATAGATTTTCTATGTTATTATAATGCACTAATAGTTAAGGCCGATAGATTATTAGAGAAGAAGAAGAAGCAGAGGAGGAGGAGGAGGACGACGACGAAAGAACTCAGGAATAAAGCCTTATCCAATCATTTAGTCTCTTTCTAAACTCATTTTTGTAATCTAGAATCATCTACCACATCAACTTCAACAATAACGTCAACAACAACTTCAACAACAACGTCAACAACAACGTCAACAATAAGGTCAACAACAACTTCAACAACATCAAAATCAAGTTAGTAATATGTTGGATGATTTGTAATAGCCTAAACTGAGTATCACAAATGACCAAATCTAAAAGTTTTCATTTTAGCTGTTTAGTATTCCTCATCTAGATACAGAACATCAGAGAACTTTGTATGAGAGCCAGAAATAGGATCAAATTTTGATGAATTAATTTCCTTTACAAATAGTCAGATATTGGATATGTCAATCGATTTCGACGGTATCATGCAAATATGTTGTCGATAAAAAGTTTCTCACATGGTAGAACTCAGTGATCACTTTAGAAACTCCTCATTACATTGGAAAAGGTTGATAATGATAGATACTATGATTAAATAAAGTCAGATAACGTCATCGCTTGTAAATATAGCATAGAAGATAATTGGAAATATCCATGAGTACTATCGTGCATCAACTAGATCATATAAGAAATGTAATATTTATTGAGTCATTTTTGAAGAATTGTGCCCAGTGCTATTTGTAGCTATCACTATTTCTCGTAGTACACTGTCAGCACGAGTCTATTCCAAGTACCATCGGTATCAATTACTCACATTATAATTTAGGCAAACGCGCATACTAAACATTTCTAGCTGATCATAGTTGCTTATTTGAGAGCAGAAGTGAATCCAAGAGAAATCCTCTTCTATAGCTGAAACAGTAGATTTTAATCTATATTTATTCGTGATATGATCAGATTTAATTTGATTTATCGGTATGATTATACACGTAGAAGTGTCAGTTGACATGAACATCTAATCTCATGTTTTAGGTAGCATTTATATAGAATTGACGTGTTCAAAAGAAATTGTAGTTGGATAAAATATTAACTGAATACTCGAGAAGCACATCTTTCATAAACATCGGTTTTTTCATGAGAATGATTTTAGCATTGTATTCTCTAATGCACAGTCACATTCATTTCAGTGGCAAAGCCAGGATTTTGAGCAAGGGGGCGGGAGAGGGCTCAGCTCCCAGAACCGTTTTGGTCTATCTTAGGAAGTATAATATTTTTACACAACCAGTGCGAATTTATTTTTCCACTTTTTCACACTTGGTTGGATAGAGTTCGTCGAGTTGAGTAAGAATTGGTCAGTTTTATATTTTTTCCAAAATGCTGAAAGACCCATGTTCTTGAAAAACAAAACTAGAAAAAATTCATCTCCTAATGTTTTTTTCCAATTTCAAAGGGCTTTTACATTTATTCGGGCTATGAAAATAATATATTTAGATTTATCGTGAAAAACTGCATCGATCTAACTTTTTTTTGATATTCCTTACTGAAAATATGCTTGTAAAATGAAGGGATTCAAGAGTGAAAAAAATATTAAAAGATGAGTTTTTCTAATATTTTTTTCAAAACAATGGATCTTGCAGCACTTTGAAAAAAAATCAAAATTTATCAGCAAAAATCTTTGGAAACAAATATAATAACTAATATAGTCTTACTCAGCTCGACCAGCTCTATCCAACCATGTGGGAAAAGCGAAAAAAACTTTTGCGTTGATTCTACGTTGTCTGCGCCTTACGTTATCGAACAAGTGAAATATGAAACTGAGAAATCTCTAGAATCTAGCTAAAGCTCTTATTAAATGTGTTTTTATTTGTTTAAAAAGTACATATAGTTTCCATACAATAAGGTATATCTCATAGAGCATTCCACTACAAACAATAATAAGATTTTGGATCAAAAAAATATATTTTTCAGAATCTTGCTAGGGGAAAGTGATTTAGTGCTCTCCTCCCCATCTCTCCCCGGCTGCGCCACTGATTTCATTTACAATTCAACTTCAACAAAAAAACAAACTCAAAATTACATTAAAAACTAATCTTTCCTTTTTTTTCTTAGATAAGAAACAATTTTCTTCTTCTTCTTCTTCTTTTCATCAAAATCGTTTGTTTTCATTCTTTTCTAGAACCGAAATTCGACAAATGGAAAGAAGATGCCATCACTGTGGCTGGTGGAAATGGAGATGGACAACAATTAAATTACCCTGTTGGAATCTTTATCGATGAAAAGAAAAATATTTTCATTGCTGATCAATGGAATCACCGTATTGTTGAATGGAAATATAATGCAAAAGAAGGACAACTCATTGCAGGTGGAAATGGCAGAGGAAATCGAATAGATCAATTGGATCTACCAACAGATGTGATTGTTGATCAACAAAATCATTCAATTATCATTGCTGATAAGGGGAACAGACGAGTGATTCAATGGTTGAATCAAAATCAACAGATTCTCATT